AAGTTTGCCGGGGACTCTGACTTGCCGAGTGTGCCACATTCCCTTGTCCCATGTGCAGATGTGTTATTGGCGTAATGAGGAAAATACTTTGGGAAAACGTGGGAGAGAGGCCCCCATAACCCAAAACTTTCCTGACAAAATAATATTCCTCATTGCGGTTACTACCTAACGAGAATTGACATAATTACTCGGGCCCATTTCTTGTCTAATTAGCACACTTCCACAGCGGACAGGGCCTAGCAGCGAGACAGGAGAAGGGAATCCGACAGGCATAGCGGTAGCAACACAAAAAGGGGCCTCTGGTTTCAGCGTAATTAGGTGAGACAATGCCCCTGACTGTTTTGAGCTATGGCTGGGCTCAGAGCTGGGGCCGAGCAGGCGAGCGGACGCCCCGTGAGCAACGTCTCCCAGAGACCCTAATAAGCCCCTAATTGTCTTTTTGTGATTCACAGGGGCAGCACTGGCAGACATGAAGACAACCCACTCTTGGTGTCCTGCAGAGAGTGTTTCCCTCGTCCACCAGGACCGGAGAGATTTGAGTTGACTCTCCCAGGACCTTCACTGTTTGGCCCTCAAACTCAGGACAACTTGTGTTAACGTCCTGCGACAGCTTCCCAAACCTGGAGAGCTGCAAGCATGTTGAAGACAGAGACGCAGGGGCAGCTAGGTTTCTTCCCAGGCAGCCATGGGGTGTCCATAGAAAAATGTCAGATTATTTTTCTGGTTTGATGCTAAGAAAAAAATCTTCCAATCTTTGGATAGCCTTGATAACTGTGTGTGAACACTTTATAATCATTTGAATATAGTTAGTCTTGGAATTACAAACAAGACTTACATCTTACACATCCAGTATACAATGAGCATGAACAACTTCTATTTTAAACTCTTAATAATATTCAACTGTTCTTTAAGTTTTGTTTTGGTTTCCACCAACTCCTAAGGAAATATCTGTCTCTTTAGCTTCTAAATGCTTCACTGTGTTCCCCAGCTATTTACTAGTTTGGTGCTGGGCAATTAGGGCTCATAAGGTTTATCCATTTTTGTTTTACCAAAAAAGACCCCATAGAGCTGAGGTAAACTGCAGGGATGGTTGATAATCATCTGTGGGTTTGTCACTATATCGCAACCCCTTTGCTATCAAGTATGTTTGTATAGAAATACTAAAAAGTCACACTTTGATTGTGGGATGACAATCTTTTTCCAGATTCTGCCTATTTCAATTTGAAATCCATGTTTTTTTCCCACACAATGCTGTTAAAGCCATGGTGATGTTTGTTGTATATTAACGATATTAACTAAATTGAAATATTTAATTTTCTTATCCAGATCTGAACTATTTCTACGACTAGAATCACTTTCTTTTCCCCTTGCAGCTTAATAAAACACTTAACCACAAGCAGCTAGACTCTACAGGCTGCATTTCATCACAGTGTTTAACCAAACACACACACACACCATATGTTTGAGGCCTCTTCAAATGGCAGGTGGTGTCCAGAAGACTCAATATTTCATCATTCCCTCTTTCTTCAATTCAATTCAATTCAAAACCTTTATTTATCCAGGTAAAATCCCATTGAGATCAATGATCTCTTTTTCAAGGGAGACCTGCAGCAGTAGGTTCCACAAGAAGACATAAACAACAGAACAACAAAAGGACATCATACAGCAAAATGTACAGGGATTACAATTTACATATTTAACCACAAGTACAGGTACCAACAGCATCTGATTTTGTAGCATCCAACCGAGCTTTAAAAACATGTAGTGGTACTAGCTTGGTAATTTTCCATTCTTTTTGCAGACTGTTCCATGTTAGTGGAGCTGCACATCTAAAAGCTTTCTTCCCTAAGACAGTCCTAGCACTTGGCACATTTAATAAAACCACAGCATGCGATCTCAGGCAATAAGTACTTTCAATTCGCAGAGAGATCAGGGAGCAGATATAAGATGGTAGTTTATCCAACATGGCTTTGTAAATGAAAAAGTACCAGTGACTGAGCCTCCGTACAGTAAGTGATGGCATAACCGCCTTGGTATACAGGGTACAGTGATGCGTAAGTGCTTTACAATTTGTCAAAAATCTCAGTGCACTGTGATACGCAGCATCTAACTTGCTCAGGTAATTGGCAGGTGCATTCATATATAACAAATCACCATAATCCAGCACAGGTAAAAAGGTCACAGTGACTAGCCTTTTCCTGGCCTCAAGCGAGAAACAGGACTTGTTTCTGTAAAAGAAACCTAGCCTAACCCTCAGCTTTTTAAGCAGGTTATTGACATGAAGTTTAAAAGTGAGACAGTCATCAAGCCAGATACCCAAGTATTTGTAACAGGTAACCACTTCAAGTTGTATTTCTTGCGTAGTTACAATATCCAAAGCAAGTCTCAGGTGTATTTTTAGCTTTAGCTTTAGAAAAGAGCATTACCTTGGTTTTATCCACATTTAAAAGAAGCTTAAGCTCAGAGAGCTGAGCCTGAATAATGTTAAAAACAGCCTGTTCTAACATCCCCTGCAGTCAAGGACTCTCCGCTCAGAGGACGTCAATCCAATGTGCCCTCACTCCTTTAATTAGCTGTCAATTAGTGCAAATGAATCAACTGTTCGCCTAATTAAGCAATGCCACCAGGCAGCTCCCAGATACAGGCCATTGTGTGGCAGCATGAGAAAACCCCAGCTAGCAAACTCACTTTGGATCAGGAGTGCAACTTAACGATCACACTTACACTGTGTGCAGAGAGCAGAGTGTGTGTACTACACACTTTATGCTACAATGATCTTGCAGAGCTTAATTATTTTCCTAAATCATGTCGAGTTATTTTGTGCATCTTGAGCACCATGGTGGCTTTAGTCCACACCGTTATGGATCTAGGGAAATATTGTTCTTTTACTTCCACTACTGCCAGCTTCTGTTCATTGGCATATTCAAAATAATGGTATTTATTAGAGTAGATAATTAACAAATACTATATGTTTTATTAGGAAATTGGGTGGTATCAATATTTTTGCTGAAACGAGCAAAAGTGATAATAACATTAATCCATTAATCAACATTTTAATAACCCTTATATAATATAATTTAGTATTAAGTATCATCTGTTTATTTTTTTATATAATGAGTACATGAGTGCTTGTTGTACATATATTTGTATTTTTACTTTAGCAAGTTCAAGTACATTTTTAGGTTCAGGACCTTTACCAGACTAAACTATAGTACTTCTTAAAAAAAAGAAGAGATCTGAAGCCTCGAATAACCTCGACCTCTCAAACCTTTCTGACCTCTTGCTCAGACATACGACAACTTTAGATCATCCGACGCCAACCACCACACACCTCTCACCCCTTCCCATCTCCGGATGAGGGGGAGAGGGTCTCCTCCTTTACTGACTCCTCCCCCGACACCTCAAACACATTTCCTTCACTCCCCCTTTTTTTACATTACAATACATTTCATTTGGCTGATGCTTTTATCCAAAGCGACTCACAATAAGTGCATTGAAACCTATGATTGAAACCAACTCAAAAGCAAGAATCCTGCAGGTACATTTCCTATCTAAGTATAAACCCAACCAGATTAAGTGCTACTGCATAAGCTTCACTTAAAGCCAAATCCTTTCTAAGTACAATTTTTTTTCTAAATTGCACTCAAACGGTTGCTGTTTTTATCGTTTAAAATGGCCTTCGAGTACCTTCTAAGCGCTTTACAAAATAAAAGTATTATTTTTAACCCACTTTCACGTTTAATAAGGATATTCTAAACAGAACTAAAAACAGACTCCCACACAAGAACTTAACTCTCCCTTTAGGCCTTTAATGTTTTCTAATCTCCCAAATGTTTCATGTGTGACCCTCTGGAAAGATTTACTTTCACCAAACATGTCACCCATGCCGGATTATTCAAACTCTCACTGTATTTGGTGATGCATTTAAAATATAAGCTCATGAGCATTTTCGGTATGATTTTCCATCTTTGTCTATAATATTTGTTCTCCTGGTGTCTGACCCTTCCTCAGTGTTGGATAACTTTCTCATTTGAGTGTGACATTTTTGACACTGATCAGAGTTGTGATTCATACTCTGACTATGACTTTCCTGGGATGAATACTCTTTGTTTTGCTCCCACTGAGACTGCAGAAAATGAAGTTGCCATGCAGTCCACATACTTCATTTACAGAGTTCAAATGTAATATCTACACACATCTGTTCACTTCTGACTCTCAAGACAAGAGCCTGATCATCTTGTGTTCTTAAGAGACGGATCTTCTTCTTTCTGTTGCGTGAATACAATTCTGACTTGACTTTGATTTCCGTCAGTTTGTCCATCAGAGGCATTGAATTAAGCTCTTACATTTTTTATGTATACAGTTATATATGATGGTTGCTTTTTTAACGAGGATGGATTTATAACCACAACATAAATGATAATTCTCACTTAAAAAAAGGAACATGCTTCTTTGCATTCATACACACGATAATTATTGATTAATGAATCTGTTAAGGTGTTGAAAAAGGTCAAGTAGGCTACTAATTAAACGATCTGCACCTCACTGTGCTTTTTTCTTAGTGTCGAGAGCATGAGCTGCATGTGTGACCTGAACAGTTAGCGCAGTGATACATCAATTAGTGAAACATATTAGTAAAAATATACCAAATGTTTGTTTTGGAAAGGATGCAGAGCCGTAAATTCAGGATTTAATAAATGCTGACGTCATGAGGGGAGGCCACCCCAGACATGGAAAATAAATTTTTCAGAATATTATGAATCAGTTATTAGATTTTGTTGTTAATTCTACTTTTGTAAGCTTTATTGAAATTGGGCAGGACTTTTCTCACCTTGATTTCCTCAAAATCAACAGCAAACTGCTATAGCGTCAAATAACTGCCTGTGATTAGTAAGGTCATGATTCTTTGCAGGAAATTAAAACAAAAGGTTTTGTTGACCTGCATAGAAACCGGTTGAAAAGCAGGTTAGTTGGTTTGACTCCAAGTTCATTAAAAGCTTTAATAAATGTTTGGTAAGAGAGTTAGGTTAGGTGTCAACTGTGTGTAGTATTTTTAGTAAAAAGTGTATACTTGTTGGATTCCTGAAATCAATTTTTGGTGTCTACATGTATTTCCCCTTTTTCATTTAAGAATTTCATTTTTAGATTATGATTACTTTGTAACTGTCATTGTTTTAAAAAATGTTCAGGAAGGCTCCTGAGCTAACATCCTCTTGGAGTTGTAACAGTTACCAGTCTGACTGGTTTGTTATATGTCCTTTTGCAAGAGTATTCAAGCTAGTTTCCCCTTAGGGAAGTATTAAAGTTGTGCAATCCAAGCAATTCAACAAAAACATTTAAAAACCCTTCTCCACACAGCCAGGAACACATACATTGGCCCTAAAATAGTCAAATTCAACATTTGAACAAGCCCTAAAATCCTCCTCGGTAAATGTTTCCAATACTGCAGAACTTCTCAAGATTCCCTCCATACTAAAACCCGTCCCATTTTCCACCATCATCACAAAGCTTCATTGAGTCTCAAGCTGGTTCCCTGAACCACAGCGATGAGGAGATGCTTTGTGTCATGAAGAAGCAAACTCATTTTCAGGCACGTGGGCAGTTCAGCCATGCTGCCTCCCTTCCTCCAGCAGCCACTCTGGACCATTACAGGCAGTAATTGTTATTTAATGGATTAAACATTCATCCTTCCTGTGCAAACCCCCAGAGGGCCCGACGACAGCCCCACCGTGTTCACACCGCTAAACATCCCCCCCACACACACTCCAGGCAGCGCTTTTGACGGCAGTGTTTGTGCTTAAAATTCAATTACCCACTTATTGATAGCTCTCAGGGGTGCTAAAGAAGTGGACACGGTGCTGGTGGAGGTGTGGATGATTTCCCAGGAGGCCTCAGTCTGCTCCACACATCTCCAGCTGGATCTATTTCATGGCTTTACTCATCAGCGGCCGACGCAGATGGAGCAGAAGCAGCCGTCATACACCTGCACACACCAGCGCACGCACGCAGACACACACACAGACACAACACACAAACAAGTCATTTATTATTGTACATGCTGACAGTCTTAGAGTCACAAGACATTAAGTGAGCTATCTAATGGTCAAGAAAATGGCCTTTGAAAATATGAAATGAAATAAATAAAATATAAAAAGAAATGTATTAATATAAAAGAATATATCCCCAGAACAATTGACCTAACCTACAGCAGGAATATGTTTTATTTAAAAAAGGGTATATACACTATACTGTACATATATTCTGAGTGTCAGACTTTAAATGTTACAATGTTAGTGTAATGTTCCACCATTATTTCTCCACATTGTTATTTTATTAGTCTTATCTATTTTTGTTCTTTAAAGATTATATGATATTTCTTGTACTTTTGTCCATCATGAAAGGGACATCTGTGATTTTGGGCAATGCAAGTAACATTTCCTTGACTAAATCTACTTTATAAAATAAATATTGAGTCCAAACATTACATACATTATATGATATCTAAAGAAAACACTACAAACGTTTGACCTGGGCGCACCACCCTGGCACATGAAGGCAGCCTTGACATACATTATGAATTCATTCCTTGCAACAAAATCGACTCCTTGGTAATCCCCCCCTTCTCTGATAATGAGTGTAAAATTGATAATCTATAAAAACCTCCATAAGTCTCCAAACGTTTTAAGGGAAAACTGTTGGTTTTATTGCTGTAGCTTTAGCTCATCAGGGCTTGGCTCAGCACTGAAAGCCACAGGTAGCCCTGCAGGTTAGCCACGCGTCTGAAAGTCCCCAGAGGAGCCTCGGCTTGCCGCTGGCCTCGTTCCCCCCGCTAATTACAGCACTCATCTCCGCTCTCCCATGAGACACAACCACTCTGATGACAAGACGCCGCACTGTTTGCAGCTCTGCATCAGCAGGCAACAGCTGGGGCTGCCGGCTGCACGTCAATACTCAGGGGGGGGGGGGTCGAGAGGGGAGTAATGACAATGTGTGTGTATGTTGGGGGAACCATGATGCATTCATTCACACCAAGCAGGGATGATTCTGTTGCTTTTTGCAGATAACTCTTGCTACTAGGGCTGCCCCTTCTCAGATGATTAGGCAAGTAATTGGTCGCTTTGCTCTTAGACAAGTATGTTTTTATGTTTTAACGCTGAATGACTTACAAGAAACTCAATAGCAAATCTTTGTGAGAGTCAAATTGGACAGACAACCATTGGTTGACAAAATGGTATAAATGTTAGTCGATTTAGATTTGTTTTAAGGAGAGGGCAGCTCTAATTTCTTCTCAATCTGTTGAGATGTATTTCTGCTTTGACTCCAGAACTCAATAACATGCAGCCTGAGGTCAGCTATGCCACATCATGTAATCTAACATGAGTTTTGATTGGAACATAAAGATGAATCTTGTTGTCCTTTCATGTGACAGGGTCAGCTTACAGCCTACATGTCCCTAAGGATGTCAGGGGATCGATGAGCTCTGTACATACTGTACTCCTCGCAGTGTGATTGCACTGACTGTTCATTAGCAGGACGCTGGGCTTTAATGGTCTGCACGCTTCTGTCGGCCGTAAATCTCCAAGACTCCACCCAGGTTTGCTCCCTTGTCTCATCAAAGGGCTGTGAAGAATGAAGTCAGTGTGATGAAAAAGAGAATGAGATTTATCTGCCTCCCTCCTCCTCCTCCTCCTCCTCCTCCTCCTCCTCCTCCTCCTCCTCCTCCTCCTCCTCCTCCTCCTCCTCCTCCTCCTCCTCCTCCTCCTCCTCCTCCTCCTCCTCCTCCTAAGACAAGCTTGTGAGCGCAGAAAAATGACAAGTGGGATCTCGCCGAGACACACCCGTAGATGTGATGATGCCACTGGATGCGTTTGAGATGCTGATGAGCCTGCTGCTGGCCAAAAACAGGAACGTCAGTGAGTCTTTCTGCTATGTCCAAAGTGAGTAAAGTGAGGAGTCAAGAGACTCAAAGGAGGAAGCAAGACACAAGTGAGGTTTACTTTGTCTGTTTAGACCAGGAGGAAGCAAGAGACAGGCAGCCGCCAAAAGGTACAAATCATGTGGTTGCAGCACAAATACATGCAGGCATTTATATACAAATATATATATAGACACAGTAAGTTTATCTAAATATCCCTCCGGCATCACTTTACCCAAAAATCAAGCAAAGACCCACTATCTTAAAGACATGCTAATTCCTGAACAGCACTTGGACAGCTGGCTGAAATTGTGTGCAAAAACTCCTTTAATAGCCTCTTAAACAATGTTGTTTTTAGGGGACAACTTGACATTTGACTTCTATTATTACTCCTCCCTTCAAAGTTTGAATGTACTGTATTAGGGGCACCTTGTCTAATAAATATACGGGTTCACACAAATGTTATCCTAAGGAATTTCTTCACGGTGGGGCGTCACAGAAGATCACCTGGTTTCCTCCTAAGAGTGTGTCCTTACTGCAGGGGCACTGTATCAAATCCTCCTTGTGACCCTCAGCTGCATGTCTTCGCCTCTCTCTCCAACTGTTCTATCAAATCAAAGATGAAACCAGAGAACAATATAAACAATAGTATGAAGTACCGTCTGTTTTAAGTTAGATACTGAGCCAGCTTTCTTTGCTATTTTCCCCACAAAAAAATCGATATTCTCTTCTTTTATTTAATTTTTTTAAAACCCTCTTTTAAATATACACCTTAATGACGATTGATGATTTTTTTTCGGGACCATTTATCAGATACCTGAATCTTGTTTCATATATCTGCACCAGATCACATTTTTTGTTTTAATTGATCAATTATATTTTTATTTTCAAATATGAACAGCGCGCCCCTGTTGCTGGTCCTTCGTCAGTTGTATAAAGGCAATTTTGTAAATATTTCTTTATACATTATTTCATTTCATATGCAAAAATTCAAAAATATGAATCATGATCGGCACTTTAACCAAGAGATCACTTTTTTTTTGCTGCTAGAAGCAGAATGCTAATAAATAACCTTATGTATTGCTGCATTAAGAGTCAGATTGAATCTCTCTTTGTATATTCCACCAATAAGTATGCAGCAGCAACAACAACAACAACCTATCAACACCAGTCGGATGAATCATTATGATTATCTATAAGACACCAGATATGTTTCAATGCTGGTTGCAGGTCTAGCTATTCATCTTTTCAGAGGGGCTAATTGTGAGAAAATGTTGTTTGACAGTTGGATGATGTCATGGTCTGTCCAGCGAGTGTGGGGCAGTGGAGAGTGAAGACATGTTGCTGCGACCCATTCATTCTGACCTTTTTCATGCAGTTCCAGGTCAAGAAATTTAGGTCAGAGAACAATGCACTCTCTCTGTTAGACCGTAGCGGGGTGCCAGAGACCCTCTCATGCTCCCCTCTGACCCCCAAGCCTTCACATCCAACCACTCAACACAACGTAACTTGGCAGACACATGAAAACACCCTGTGGATTTTAGTTGGGAGAGATGCTTCAGACCTTTGAATAAAGCAGGGTGGGGAGGCACCTTGTGGTTAGATATCACAACTACACTATCTATCTTTCTATCTGTGGATGATGAAGTCAAGTCTTGTGTTTGGGGGAATCTCAAAAAGAGAGTTACCTTCCACAATAAAAAAAATAACACATCATTAATAATATATAGGCTGGTTCAGGTATTTATAAGCAGGCATATTTAAATATTTACCCACTTCAAGAGGAGACTAAACAGTATTCAATTAGCCTACATTTTGGTCTATAAAATGAACAATTACAAATGAGTTGTTTAGTTGACTGACATTGTCAGACTAATACATTTTACAGCATGATCTACAGTGCTACAATTATTCAAGTAAATGCATTGTTACTTTGTAAAACAGATGGGTCATTTAAAATGTGCCCTGGTGGCCATTTTTAAAAGGGAAAGAGGGTAAAGAGTAAAGAGAATATATAAAAAGGTGAAATTATAGTCCTGTTAATGTTAAGTTAAACAACACATTAAGGCTACTACACAAGTGCATTCAAAATTATCCCAATGTACTGTATACAAACAGATCCCAAACAAACACACTTAATTTTCTACAGACCTAACGTGGCAGCCTGAGCATAAAACCGATAGATAAATAAAGATGTCTTTCCAATAGCTTTACCGGAGTTAACCAGAAGAGAGGACACTGCTCGGACATTAAACAATACATAAACAGCGGCATTAAACCTCTCACATTTTAGCAGCAGAAGAAAGAATCACCATGTCAGACAAATGAACATGTATAACAATAAAAACTCCACAGCTGGCTTATTGCAGCTGCAGGTTAGCGTACATACATCCCAATGTGTTTGTTGTACTACTCACCTGTTTGATGAATCGCATGTTTTTAAATGTATGAGGAAGTCCTGCTCCAGGCTCAGTCATCTCGGCCTTTGAGTTTTTCAAACATTTTGAGCTGAATACATCTCTGCAGTCACAAATACAGAGTCCTCTCACACACCTCTCTGAAGGGAAGGTTCTGCAGTGGACACAGGATCCACCTGAGGAGCCACCATTCACGTTAGCATTGTAGCTACACTACACCCACAATGCATCTGTTGGCAACGTTTTTTTTTTTTGTCTTCTTCTTTATCGGTTTTATGGAGCTGTGTTCAGATTGTTTATGTAAAAGAGTGACAAATTACAGACAAATATAAACATGTTTTTTGGCTGCAGTGTTATTTCCCGCCACTAGATGCCACTCCAGTTTGCTGCTTGATGACGTCACGTTTGTCCAAGACAAATACCCTATGAGCGAGACTATTTCTCGCCGGGTGCGGTGGCGCGCGCCTGTAATCCAAGTTACTGGGAGGCTGAGGCTGGCGAAGCGTTTGAGCTCAGGAGATCTGAGCTGCAGCGGACTATGCCGATCGGGTGTCCGCACTAAGTTCGGTATCGATATGGTGCTCCTGAGGGAGCTCGGGACCACCAGGTCGTCTAAGGAGGGGTGCATCGGCCAAGGCCGGAGACGGAGCAGGCCAAAGCCCCCGTGCCGCTCAGTAGTGGGATCGCGCCTGTGAATAGACGTTGTAGAGCAGCCTGTGCAATACAGCGGGACCCAGTCTTTTTAACAAAAAAATAAAATACTACAACAACACCACACTCAAAAATTATATTTGTCCACCACACAGCAGCTTCATCACTGCCTTTTTATCCTCTTATTCTCATGAAAAACCCTCGCGAAGCAGCTGATCTGCGTGTCCTACACTGCCTCCACCTGGAGGAAACCTGAAACTACATCAACAACACAATACTTTTTTGGACATGACGCATTTCTCAGTAACCAAGCTTCCTATCGGATATGATTAGTTTGTTTCAGTTATCCTGTTTTTGATCATAATTTGGATATGGCGTTTACATAGAATATGAAAAACGTGTTCCTATCCGTGTATGAAGTGGTGGCATGTAGATAATTAGATTTACTCAATAACTAAGCTTAACCCTTCTCTTGCGTTAGGTCATACCCCCCTTCCCATGCTATTTTCGGTCAAAATTGACCGGTGTGTTTTGTACAGTGATATCTCTGGAACCCCTTATCCAATTTTGATGGTTGACATCTCATTTGAACAGTCAAAGCAAGTAGAATCAAGGTAGGACAGACAGAATGACACCAGGAGTGAATTTCATATGATTTTAGGCAGTAAGTTCAAAGATAGTGCTTATTTTACATTACTGTATATTATGAAAATGCTTGCCATGTAGGCTGTGTTTACTGGAGATGGAAATGCTTTAGTTAGTGTTGTAGCTTAGATTCTTCCTGTTCCAATGATGTATGGGATGTATTGATTTGATACAAGCAAGCCAGTGTTTCATGTCATGGTCCGGACCCACCGGTGGGCCCATCAAGTTCAGCATTCACTGTGATGAATATAAAATAAGGCACTGATAATATTTTCCTCAATAAACATTTATTGAAAGAGAAATATACCATAACAGAACGTGTGTGTGTGCTCACGTGTGTTCACGCACATGATTGGCAATGCAAAATTGTGGAATGTCACCTCAGGCTCCTCTCCCTCAGGGGCTTCTATCTCAGGGGCTTCTATCTCAGGGGCTTCTATTTCAGGGGCCTCTATCTCAGGGGCCTCTCCCTCCTCTCCCTCAGGTGCCTCTTCCTGGTCTGTTGTAGGCTCATAGTCTGGATCACTGTTGACTTCCATTTCTGAGACATCTTCCTCTATCTCCTCTTCATCTGGTTCAATCTCCTCTTCATCTGGTTCAAAAATGTGTCCAGAGCCCCTCGCGCAGAAAATAGCCTAATCGTTCGCCTGCTCATTGTGTCAATGAGTCAAATGTGAGCAAGGCACAAATATAACTGCTTGAGAGCCAGTAATGGAGGCGCATTTAGCGCAAGAAAGTGAGAGGTTTGTGTTTCTCGAGGGGCACAGAGCTCGCACCTGTGAGAAGGTATGATACATTGTATCATACAGCGCAAGAAAGGGAGAAGTTCCTGTAACGTGTGTGTGTGTATATAGATGTTTTCCATCTGCAGAATGAACATAATACACTCATACCCATTCATTTCTATGGCGGTCAAATCTGACCGAAAACGTCAAGGGTGTTTCACTGTTGAATAAATCACTCAAAATTCAATGCAAGTGGTGATCATCAAGTGTATATGTTCAGAGGCCTAGTGTGGAGGATAACATAAGGTATTGAGGCAATCGGATGAAAAACACAATATTTATGATTAAAATAAAAGTCATTCGGTCACTTTTGACCCGAAACGCAAGAGAAGGGTTCAAAGTAAACTCTAGGCACTTGTACTTTTCTTTAAAATGATGTGCAACTTCATAACTTAACTACATTTCAAAAGGAAACATTTGTAGTTCATATGATATATTCATATTGGTTTGTATTTGTATACACAGTAAAAAAAAAAACATATCTCCACATTTGGTCATTTTTCTGATAAACTGAATGTTAGATGTTCTTTTATGGGTTGATAAACTTGGCTTACTTTTTCAGATATATAAACTATTAAAAAGAAATGTGCTATTTAGAAAGGGGGAAAATACACATACATATTTGACTGTAGTTTTAATGTATGAACACACTGCTGCTACTGAAACAAAATCATTTCCCAATTTGGGATCAATAAAGTACCTATCTATCTTTAATATAGTAATGGATTATAATTGCATTACTTTTAAAGATAGTAATTTCTATACAGCAGTATGAAGCTGAAGAAGGAATAGAAGAAAAAACATGTTGCCCCAAAATACCTGAAAGTATTACAAAATATTAGCACGTTTCAGAAACTCTCCCAGTAGAACTCATGTGATACAGCATAGTTTTCCTCATCAAAAGAGACACCAAACACTGGATCAATCATTATTTTATTTATTTGTTAAATTACAATGGTTAAAGTTCGTGGTCTTCTGGGTGGTAAAGTTCGCTCATCAGACGGTAGATGTACGACGGTGCATGTCCTCCGATGTTAGAGATGAACAGTGTGATGAGTTCAGGGGGGACATAGTCAAAGACCGGACAGTGCACGTTCACCTTTGAGAGAATCTCACCTGAAATACAAATTGTAAAATGTGAGTTCCCCAGAAAATGTACTAAAAGAGGTACATACATTTTCAAAGTTTCAAAGTTTATTTTCTAGAAATGAATAGTTAGTTGATTGACTGTTAATAAGCACTTTGTAAGGAATGTCAGTTACCTTCAGTGAAAGGAAGCACTTCATGTGGAGAGACAAACTTATGGAAGGTATCTTCTTCATTCGGGAACTGAGGACACCAAATAGTTTTATCGTCATTTTGCTGTCAGCAGAAATTACAATAATCTGTCAAACTATTGTGTTCTTACTTGAGGCGAGAGCTTGAACATGGGAGCACAAACAATCAGCGGTGTGGAGTGGTGCTTGGCGGCGAGGGCCAGGGTGTGCGTCCCGTTGACGGCCCTCAGACCCCCGTTGGCCAGAACTGTCTGCGTCCCGATGATCACCTGTAAGCAGATTTCCACGCAGGTTAAACCGCATGCTCTGACATGACTGTTTTAAAGCCTTCTTTGGTGTCAAATACCTTATTAACTCGAGACATCACTGCAAATATGGCAGCGTCTGCGATGACGGTGGTTTCAATTTCTGCTTTTGAGAGACTGGTTGCCATCTCATGTCCCTGGTAAGAGGTGAACAAATCAGATCATGTAATCATTCATCTCAAAAACACCATTTGTTATTGTTTTTACTAGCTAAACGAAATCTCTTGATTTTCAAACCTGGCAGAACGGGGCGCACTCTGCCACAATGACGTGGAACTTGCGTTTGCGTGCAGCGTCCTTCAGGAAGGCCTCCACGGTGCGAGAGCGGCCGATGGTCATGATGACCTCGTTAGAGTGGATGTGCTCCAGGGCCTGCATCGAAATGTTGTCAGTGGTTCCCTCTGAAAAGCAAAATGGTGAAGGGAGAAGCAGCAAAACGTTTTATCCTCACAGAAGTAACACAGACATCACATCAATTGTATGAAAACCAGCTGACGGATAATGAACCGATTTAAAAAATAATAATAACATACCCAGCTCGGTCAGCAGCTCATTGATGGCCTCGATGACGTTTGCTTTCAGAGCGGAGAAATGCTGCCCGAAGTTCTCCTCGCTGAGTTCTCCAGACGTCAGCAGCTTGTGGAGAGATTCCTGCTGGTCCGTTTCTTCACTGCTGCCTCGAGATCTGCAAGAAACGATCAAATCAAATACAAAAATCTTATATCTCTAAACACAATATGTACTCTTTCAACATTCATTTCCTTTTATTTGATAAATATCTTCTTATGAAAATTATAATGTCATGGAGACCAAACAACTTCATACCAGAAACAAGAAACCATAATAAAAGCCAAAATGTCCAATCAAATATAACGGGCATCACTTTGACTATAACTTATCAGCATCTACTCACATGATTCTTGAGTGTAGGTGCCTCCTATGTGCAATCAACTCAGATATATATTATAATATAGGGAGTGTGTATAACCAATGGCTTTAATCTTTAACCTCTCCAGCCCAGTGACTTTAACAGCCGTCATACTGTTTAATCCTCACCTGGCATATTCCTCTCTGATGATCTTTAACACCCGTCTGATCATGTTTCCAACAGTGGTCTCTGAAGGCTGGGCGGCAATCATTCTCCTCCCCTCTTTACGGATTATTTCCATCAGATCACCTGAAACCAAGTTCATTAGTTTGGAAAAATGTATTTTGAAATGTTAAAACTTCTGAGGATTCCACTATTATAGATGACAGTATTAGTATCCATCATTGTTTACTCTATGAGAAGGAAGTGTGGGCAACCCCATCTTGCTTTTTTAATTTACAAAGTTACACCTAATTACCTACTATTATATGTATCATTGCCTTTAAAAAGGTCCCCTATTATACTGTTTTTCATCAATATATTATAGGTCTAAGATATATACAAACATGTCTCTGAAGTGTTTGGCTCCAAATACCAAACAGATTATGTATTTGAGCAATCCCCTCTGTTTCTAAAGTGCTGATTCTCTGTCTGTTACTTTAGATGAAAACAAGGAGCCCCTCCCCACGCCCCTCTGAGAGAGATTTGGTTAAAAAGAACACAATGGTGCTCTAGGAGGAGATTCAGGTGATAAGGTGGTGGGGGGGGGGGTTACCTTGGTTGGTTATTGGCTAATGGTTACACAAGCCAAAAATACATAATGACATCATAGAGTGGCCAAAATCTGATCAGCTCATTTTCAGACAGGTTTTTATATAAATGGATCAGGACTAAAAGTGAGCAAAGCTTTTTTCTTGAAACTTTCAGAATCTATTTACACAGAGGACACACATTTTTATGTATAAAAGACATGAAAAAGTGGATTTTGTCTAATAGGTGACCTTTAAGAATTAGAAATACTGGCTACATACTTGTTAACATCGTTTGGTTATCACATTATCTAGATCTATCTATCTATCTGAAAATATAGGTAACTACGTATATTTGCTCGCTCAGCAGTTAACTGACAAACTCCTTCCCTTGAACAACAACTACATATTGTACTACATACTATTGAACTCACGATAAGTTACTATAAAATAAGTAACCACATTGTTGACAGCTGTTGTCGTCGTCACAACAGGTTTGCCAGAAGTCCTCACTGTTCAGCTACGACAGCAGCAACTACGTTAGCTAGCTGTAATGTTGAGTTAGACAGTGAATCAACAAAGGGAGTAGCATGAATCACCTGCGCTGTTCCACCGAGGCTGGGCTGTGATTCTGCGGAGCAGGGACGTCGTTTCTCGGGCTGTCTCGGCCGAGCCCCGCAGCGGTCCTGTCCCGCAGCCTCCACGCTTCAGGTTGGACAGAAACGCTTCAATTCTCTCCGTCAGGTCTATTTCTTTGTCTGGGCCCGGCATAGTAGATATATAAAGGACTTGCTGTCAGTTTAAAGGCTCGACAACTGAAGTATTTCTACCATGCAATATTTTGTCCATGAGGAAGTACTTTCGGAGTACATCCGGGTGACTACAACTACGCTTTCATCTGATTGGTGGACTGCTGCACGCATCAATTCTGTGGTGTGTTAGCAAACAAGACATCCTGAAGTGTTTAATGAGATATTTGGGACTACCTTCGCTACAGTTAAATGTCAATAAAATTATATTGTTGGTGTGAGTTTAATTGTTCGTGTTTTTCGATGTCTGACGAGGCCAGGCGAAACAAAACAAGCAGAGAATATAATGAGAGCCAAACACCGTTGTAACATCCAATTCTGTAACTCCTTTATTTTTCTCTTTTGAAATAGATGCGAAGGAAAGGAAACACATTGACGCATTTAATTTAACTAATCGAAACACACATTTTCAAATTGTCCAAGAGTATTTTTAGATGTTTATTTCAGTTTCATGAGTTTAGTTTAGTGCTATGACGTATTGGTTATGTTCATAAATTAAGTCAGGTTGAGTTGTCTTTAGGGGCCCTTTCCACCTATAATCCAGTTGTTTTGTGTCATGTGTATTAATATGTCTCGTAACTTTCAGATGTATCTACTTGTGTCAAAAAGGGTAAGTGTGGGAAACTATTGACACGAAGGGCTGTGGTGGGTGTTATAACCAGATAACTCATTGTAGGATTAAGGCAGAGTCGTTGTAACAGGTTAGGTAATTGAAGTCTATAATTTCCCTCAAACAACTTCATGGTTTTCCAAACCAAATATTTGCTGGCAAATTGAGAAAGTAATGAGTCATTTTTGGATTTCAGGCTTACCCATCCCTAAACCTAACCCAATGTTGCAATGTTCCTCTGAGGGTTCATCTTGAGATAGGATGTCCAAAACATTCCTTTGATCTAAATTGATGGGAAATAAAACACAACGGTTTATTCCCAAATGTGTATTTGGTCCCAGTTACTTTTCTGACCGACATCAACATGGATAGCTCTTATTTAATTCTTAAGTATATATCAATGGACCACTTAGATGCATCAGAGTAAGAAAATAAGCTTACTCACCATGTATTGTGGAGCTGTGATAAAACATGAGCAACACCATCAAATAATTGTATTAGACACTGTGTCTTAATGTATTTAGTAATACTATGAATATTTTAAACTTGAATTCACAATAGTGTTATATTACAGCCTATGTTTGTTGTGGGATAAACAAGTTAGACCACACCACTACTAATGTAAATCCATCCAATATTTTATTGAGTAAAAGCCCAACACAAATTTACAAAATGTATCAGTCAACATAAAAATCATTGATTGCGCACAATGCGCATATTCATTGTTAAAAATGTTCCCATGACAGATGCCTCAATAAATCCCATTCTAAAACAATCTGAATATTTGCAACCACCCACCTTCTCATGTAACCCAAACCTCAAAAGTATTCTAAAGAAAAGAAGCACGCTGGATGGATCCCCACTGTAATTAGGATGTGATATTTCAAAAAATGCTAGATAATTAAATATACGAGTGTGTAAATAAAAAGGGGCGCACGACTGAAAGGGAATTTCATAAAGTGTTTGGATTGCCTTCTTCACATTTCCTGTCAAAAGCTTTATTTCTGATCCGACAAAAGAAACTTGCACAACTATATATGAATTGAATCATAAAAGTCAGGTGATTAAATTACTTATAGCCATGCAAACAGTATAATGCTGCAACCTCATCCTAAGGACAAGGTGTTATACTTTTGATCGGTGACAAATTAATGATCAGGTGTTTCAAAAACAAAACTACAACGTGCAAGAGATCATAGAAGTGACCTAATTTATAAATGAGAATATTGCTGACAACTCAAAATCCCACCCCCTCCCAAAATATACCTGTAGAAGCAACTAAGTAGCATTTACAATATGAAAACAAACTAAAGACACGGTTAAATTTAGCTACCAAACAAGTATGCAAATTAGGTGACATAACACAGAAGTTCAGTGGTTGCTAATTTTCTCAACAAAGTAACAACAAACCACGTTTTCAAATAGCCTTCACTTGATAAAAGGGCAGCAAGGATGTCGTTTGCTTGGCATGGCAAAGAATGTGAATATTAACAGAAGGGCAAAAGACATTCACTCATGGCACATCCATTCAACTGAGCTCAAAATCAAACACAACTGTTCAACTGGTTGAAGGAACAAGTTCTTATTCAGTAGACTGCAACATTCAAAACAGTGCAGACAGAAAAGTGAAGTACCATGAGATGGATGCATCACACTAGTGTAGTGACATACGCCTGCCTGGTCTCACAGTGCATTTCTCCTACAGCGCTTTTCATGTTTCAAAACACTAAATAAGCAGGTGATTTATTTTTTCAGAGGACAACCTTGGTTTCTTTTACAGACCTTGAAACTAGAATTTGAGCCCCTCAACCCCACTCGCTGTTGTTTGCTGAAGCTAGTCCAAGGAGGGTGGATGTTGGGATGTGTTGACTGACTGGCAGGCAGCTTCCTGCGGTGTAAGGAGCCACGAGCCGCTTTACTCGATCAGCTTCTTTGCCTTGAAGAAGCGCCGCAAGTAGAAGACCTGCCATGTGGCCAGGCCAATGAGACAGCACATGGAGAATATGCTGAAGTACAGCACACGCGTGTTGGTGGACTCTAGAGATGGGGGGGGGGGGAAATAATAGGTAACAGTATTATTGATCGGGGACAAAAACATTTCATTTAAGTTTCATTCCCTAAAACCTGATACTTGTCAACACTGGACAGACACTTTGTTTTTATTAATCTTATATTTCGCTGCTACTAATTCACGAGTTAAGCTGCATGTTAAATACTAGTAATATGGGGAAAGCATTTTCAAACTGCAAGACTGTCAACCATAAACTCTGACATGCTAGAAATCATCATCAAAGGAAAAAAATACAGGGAAAAAATGTAGGCGCCTCTTGAATTGTACATCAAACAACAACCATCAATAGGGCAGGAATGTACAGGTAGCTGTGGGCAAGCAAAACAGGATGAAAATCTGGCCTAATCTTAAGTGTCGGTCCGATTTAAGGAACCTAAAAACACATGCAAGGAATATTTGTAAGTACTTGCTCAGCTCCAACTTCATGAATTGCATTGTTTTGTTACCATTGGTGTCCCGCATCTCCTCCTCTCTCTTCTTCATGTAAGCAAAGTCATTGACGATGGACTCCGACAGGTCCTCCAGCCGCCTCAGCTCCACCTCGAGAGGCTTCAGCTTCTCCACCTTGGCAATCTGGATCGACAAAAACAGAAGTTCACAAATTCAGCAAAGTGATGGCAGAGATGTCAATGGTTAAAACGCTTAAGCAGTGCCATTATATACTTTGTCCAGCAGGGGTTGGTCTTGGGCTTTGTATTCAAATCAATTGTACACACACATATTGCACATCAAAAATGTGCCTCTAGGGAATGTACACACCTCGGGGTGTTAAAACAAACTTTGTTTTGCTATTTATTTACACTGGAGAGAAGGCTGCCTTTGAACTCTGGTGTGAACTGAACAGTTGCACCCACTGAGAAGGTGGAGCAGGGAACAGACCAACCACAGCATTATGAGATACTGATGAACGTGTACAAATTAAACTGTGAATGTGAACTTTTAAGACTTTGTGGCAAATATTTTCCCCCTAGAATGAACTTTTCTTCTGTGAAGTGTTGATAATGCAGGACAGGTTACAAAACCTGTTCAGTGACTAGTTGACCTGTCAGTCCATGTGACTTATGTCAACTTGTGACATTTGTGTGCGAAGCGTAAAACTAAAAACAGAAACACCACATTGGACTAAATTGTCCTTACTCCAGCCTTGAATTGTGCAATAGCAACAGACATTTTCCAATTATTGAATTTGCAAAGGGAAATGTGCCTGATGTGGAGCATGCATCTGCCAATGAACACATGCAAAAACACATTGTGTGACAGGCAGGAACTCTTTCAGGAAATGTACTAAATACCAAGACATCGTGTCCCGGCCAGTTTGCAAATGTGCTCAAAAGTAACACACCCTCCTACGTAGGAGAATACAATCTCAGCTCCACCCTCTTGCCCACAGACAGGAAAGCCCACTTGAGCTTTCCCTGAACATCCTCCTCCTACACACTTGCTCACCGAGTGTGAAAGAACATCATTAGTGCACCATGTGTGGGAAGGGGGGCGATTCTCAGCAAACAGTGCTTTTCATCACTTCTCTGCTTATTAAGTATTGCCTAGACGGCCACAGTGGAAAGTGAAATCTATTCTCTGAAGAAATGATGATGCACAACAGTTGTGCCTATTTAGGAAAATATGAAATAATTGTTGAGGCAAAGAACCTCCTTCACTGATGTTCCTTTTTATACACAGGGATTTCTTGATGTCATTATCATGTTTTGAGAATAGAAGCATGCCAATGCCACTAACGCAGCCCTAGGCACCCACATTGCTGCCGTCAGCCACAAGTATGTAATGTGGCCAAAAGGTACCGGAGAAGAATGTTCTGGTTTCCAATCCTCAACTTGATTTATTAATCTCATTAAGTCATTGCATAGTTTGATGTTGTGCAACAACAAGGAAACAGTGAAGGGATTGTATGTCTCTTGCATCTCTTCAATGGGAATTTATTTAGTTTGTAACAATAGTTTGATGAGTGAGTGCCTCTATCCTGACGAGGGATGGAGGCAGCAAATGTAACCAAGTGGTTGAGTCAGCAATTGTTGTATTTAGAACATTTGGGTGCATTCTCACACAGGCTCATAACATATGGCCATTGGTTTAAATGAACCTCTAGCTTATTCGTTTTTCAAACCTGAATGTGTAGTGAAACCTAGGATGCGACCAAAATGACTTTTATGCTTAGGAAGGTTCTAACCGAGTGATATGACCCAGAAATATTAAGTCAAGGCCAGGAAAAGAGCAAGTCAAAGTCTCTAAATGCTAAGGAAATGTGCTTCAATGCCTTCTAGACCAGCCTTAACTAATAGAAAAACGATAATGCTGTCCCACAGTTCCTAGCGACCGCACACTTTAGGGATGTGATTGTATATTGGTTAGGAATCCTTACTAGAATTGTACGCCATTGAGTGT